AAAGATTAGCATTATCCCATTGCACCAATGGGAAAGCCCTGGATGAAAATATATGAGAACCACTTTTGGAGCTATCTGCCCAACTGAATTTTCTTTGACCATTCTATATCCATTAATTTATTCATTTAACAATAGATATTGAGTCCCTACGCTGTTCTAAGCACTATTATTTGGTGTCCTGGGAACAGTATTAATTGCATTAAAGGTCAAATGCCCCTGTCACAGCCTGGGTTCTTGAGACATGCAATTTTGGTAATGGCGGCCTTTACATCCTTGTTTCTCAGGGTGTAAATGAGGGGGTTGAGGATTGGTGTGAGAATAGCGTATGCTACATTGCCCATGATGTGGAAGTCGAGGGGTAGGTCAGCCCTGTAGGCCACATAGGCGATGGCAATGGATGAGTAGTAGGTACCCACCACCAGGAGGTGGGAGCTACAGGTGGAGAAGGCTTTGGACCGTCCTTCTCGGGAGCTGATGCGAAGCACTGAGGCCAGGATGTGGGCGTAGGAGAGGAGCACCAGGAGAAGGGGGAGGGAGGACACCACCATGGCGATGCAGAAGCCCATGAGAGTCTGAGGGGTGGTGTCAGAGCAGGAGGCCTGGACCAGAGCCAGATGGTCACAGAAGCAGTGGTAGATGTAGGCAATGTTGTTATATGCCATCTGGGAGGTCTTTACTACAGCCGGGATGGGCAGGAGGAGGGCAGTGAGCCAGGCACTGGCTGCCAGCATAGTGTTGGTCTGTGGGGTCATGTGGACAGGGTAGTGCAGTGGGCAGCAGATAGCCACATAGCGGTCATAGGCCATGACCACCAGGATGAAGGCTTCAGAGCATGTAAAACTTTGGAAGAGGTACATCTGCAATAAGCAGGAAGGAAAGGTGAGGAAATGGTCCCCAAGCAAGAATAGGGACAGCATCTTGGGGACAGTGGTTGTGGTGAAAAGGATGTCCAGGGCAGAGAGGTTGATCAGAAAGAAGTACATAGGCTTGTGGAGGCTGGGCTCTGCCACCACAGCCACCAGGATCAGAGCATTACCCATAAGGATGAGAAGATAGAAGAGGAGGAAAATAAAAAACACAGGGAGGAAAAAGGACTCTGGCAGAGAGGGGATGCCCACTAGGTAGAAGACGGGTGAGCTGTCCACTGATCCATTACAGGTTGTGGCCTCCATAGTGAGACAGAGCTAGATTTCTGGGAGATGGGCAGGTGGATCATCTGGACACCAGGAACATCTAGAAACCATAGAAACAAAGGATTCTGCAGTGATAATTCTACAACGTTTACCTTATAGTTAATATAAGCACAATTATTTACAACCAACTCTGAGGACTGATGGTAGGCTGTGGTATTGACTTTTACCATGTGATCCCCAAATTTATCAAATACTAATTAGTAGTAACCTACCAAATGGACGTCTTTATGCTTTGCGTAGGTGATAAAGTGTTGAAAGTAAAGAAGGCAGGAAAAGTTCCTGTCTTCCTAGAGTTTATATTTTACTGGGAATATCAGATATAAACAGTTGATTATTGAATTATGATTGTGAAATTCTTTGGTCCTCTTCTTAGGTTCCATGCTCTGTGGTTTGGGTTGATGTCAGATCTCTTAAGTCAAGTCCTTAAGCACATGTCTCTACTTTTGCACTCACTCAAAATTCCACCATGTTGTTCTGGAGGGGCTGCTTTCTCCAAGATTTTGTGTAATATGCTGCTTCTCACATATTTATTAAGCTTCTTTCTTTCTTGTATGCCTTGAGTAGCAGTTCTTCCTGACTCCATTTAAACTAGATGTCTGGACTTCTGCTCCTGCATAGGATGTAATAGGTCATGGCAGCCTACATTTCCACTTCAACAACTAGGAAAACATGGATAAATTACACAAATCACATTTTGAAACAAACTGGAGAAACATGGGTTCAATAAGGATGAGATGAAGTGAAACTCTGGGGGATGGCGGACCCTCTAAAGTGAGTTAACAATGATCAGCTCTTTTCTTCTCTGGGAATATTTGATTTGGGGACACATGATGTGGCTTGGGCTTGGATCAGGCAGAGGGTCATGGATGAGAAAAGAGAAATCAGCAAGGCTTTTGGCAGTTAAAAAGGGCTTATAAAACAGATTGGATTTTTGAGGCTCTCTCAATGCATAACAAGTTTTCCCCATGGGACATCTGAATTCTGGAGCTATGCAAAGGAGGCTGGAGAGCTGGTCTGAAGGCTTTTAAAAGACAAGATAAAACCTCCCATGATCTGTGAAGCTTGAGAGACTACAGGGAGAGGGTTTGCCTCAAATACATATGGTCTTCCTCTCAAGACATTTTACAAAAATGGAGGCTATGTGTCTGTGTAGGGGGAGGAGGTGGGATGGGTGAGGAGGGTGGCTAGAGACCTAAGTTCTAAACCTCCAAAGGGCAGAAGCAAATATCCCACTGTCTTTCAGGGCTGAGGAGACAAAGGTCAACCAGGCTATCAGCCCAAAACCCAGAAAAGCCATACCTTAAGAACAGGAGCAAATCAAAGTTAGACTAAATCTTACTAGAACTGAAACTCAACCCTAACCTAACTCAAACCTTAATAGGCTTTAGGTGACCAGCCCTTTACTCTACCTGGCTAGCAGAGAAAAAGGAGAAATCTATCTGGTGAGAGATGTCATCTGGGCCCTCTACAAATTTATTATAAAAAATGATTAGCCCACAGTACAATTATTAGATATGCAAAAGGTGGGACAATGCAATCAAAAACCAAGAGTTGACATAGAGATGATCCAGTTACTAGAGTTAGCAAACAGGGACTTTACTGTATCTATGTTTATACATTAAAGAAAATAGATCTGACATTGTTTCCAGGAGAAAAAAAATAAATACATTAAAATTAAAATTAAAAAAACAAAAAAAAGAAAATAGAGAAAGATGTTGACAAAATGAATTTAAAAAATGGAGATTTCAATAGAAAATTGGAATCTATTTTAAAAAGCATTAAACATTCTAAAACAGAAATATCCAATATTGGAAATTAAGAACTCATTGGATAGGTATAATAGCAAACTGGACACAACAGAAGACAGGATTAGAGACCTGAAAAATAGATCAATAGAAAATAACTAAAATTAGGTCCAGAAAGAGATAAAAGAGTATATACTATATGATTTAATTGGCATTAAGTTAACTGACAGGTAAAACTAATCTATGATAGTATAAATCAGTATAGTGATTGCCTATGGGGTAAGGATTGACATGAAACAATCAAAAACATACTTTCTAGGGTGATGGACAGGTTCCATATATTGAGTTGAGTGGTGGTTACAGGATGTTTATATTTATGAAAGCTCATTGAATTATATACTTAAGATCTGCATATTATCTTCTGTGTAAATTTTACCTCATTAAAAATACAATAATGAATATAATACAGAGAGAGTGAGAAGGCAAGAACCAGACTAGGAGAAGGTATTTTTATATTTTCAACACATGTATCAAAGGGCATGTATCCAGCATATATAAAAACCTTCCACAACCAATAAGAAAAAGATAGATGACCTAACACAAAAATGGGCAAGACTTGAATAGGCAGGCACTTCACAAATGAGAACATCCAAATGGCCAATAAACATATGAAAAAGTGCTCAGCATCCTTAGCCATCTGGAAGTGTAAATTAAAACACAATATGATACTGGTAAACACTCATCAGAATGACTAAACTTAAAAGAACTGCCAAGTGTTGGTGACATATGGAGTAACTGGTACTCTCATACATTGTTGGTAACTGTTACAACCACTTTGAATAACAGTTTGGCAACAGATTCTAAAACGTATGACTCAGCAATACCACATCTCAACACATAACTAAGAAAAATGAGTACTGTGTCTACCAAAAGACATCTTTATAGCCCTAGGTATATATCCAACAAAATTGAAAACATATATCACACAAAAACTTGTACATGAACGTTCAAAGCAGCATTATTCATAGCAGTCAAAAAGTAGAACAACCCAAGTGTGCATCAACTGATGAATGGATAAAACGAAAGGTGGTATATCCATACTATGGAATATTATTCAGCCATTAAAAAGTAATAAAGTACTGATACATGCTACAACGTGGATGAACTTTGAAACACTACTATGCTAAATGAAAGAAGCCAGATATAAAAAGCCATATATTGTATGATTCCACTTATATGAAATGTCCAGAATGGGCAAATCTATGGACGTGGAAAGATTCATGGTTGCCAGGACTGGGGGAGGAGGGAGTGGAGAATCAATGATTAATGAATATGGGATTTCTTTTGGGGTGATGAAAATGCATGGGAATTTAATAGTAGTAATGGTTGTACATTGTGAATATACTAAAAGTCATTGGAATGTTCACTTAAAAATGATTAAAATGGTGATTTTTATGTTAGGCAAATTTTACTTTAATAAAGAAAGTTTACAGCAGCTTTTATTTATAGTCTTCAAATGGAAACAACCTGAATGTCCATTAACGGTAGAATGGACAGGTTGTGGTATATTCATACAAGGGAGTGCAACACAGCAATGAAAAAGGATGAACTACCATTACACACAAGATATATGAAGCTCACGGTCATAATATTGAATGAGAGAAACCACACCCAAAAGACTACATGCTGTATGATTCCATTAAGATCAAGATTAAAATCAGAAAAATTAATCCATTAATATTAATGGTGAGAGAGGTCACAACAGTGGCTACATACACTGGGGGTAGGGAGATTTCCGGGGTCAGGAGCAAGGGAGCCTTTTGGGTTGCTGAAAATGTGCTTCATCCTTAGCTGTATCTCTAGTTGATCGATATCTATATCATTTATCTCTAATATTTGTGGGCTTTATTATATCTGAGCACCTTAAACAAGTAAGCAAACAAACAAAAATATCTGAATATCATGTCTCTGTGTCTATGGCTTTTTTAATATTACAATGAAAGGAATGGCAGAGGATGCCTTTCGTGAGAGGAGCCACTTCCAGACTGGAGTCTAAGTTAAAGGTGTATTCTACCCAATGGTGGAAACAGAGATTGAAAGGCATCTGTGCGTAACAGTGTGATTTTTCCTCCCCTCTACCTGCTGCAGGTGTTCCTGATTAACTGTTTTGTGTCCATTATCCTATAAATTCCCTGACCCCAAATAAGAAGGTACTACGGAAGTCTGGAAACTTGGGAGCTTTGGGAGCCATTGCTAGAGAAGGGCACAGTCTTCTTGTGACAAGAGCCCAAAGGCAAAAGACCCTACCCCAGAGGTTGTTCTCGCCTTGTCAAGGAAGAAGAGACGTGCGCTTTTGTTGGCCCACAGAACTGGAGGTCTTTAACTGTGGGAGAATATTGACTACTATGTTGGGGATGTCTCTCTGAATAAATGATAGAGGAACAAATTGATGTTCACGATTATATCATTCCTTCTTCAACCGTGATGATTCTAAGATTAATTCCTCCCTGATTTTTCCAGAACTGTCTCATTTCTCTTATTTCTAACAAAACATCTCTCATGCTGTTGAATCATAAAAATGCCAAACCTGAAATATCCAGCCAGCTGGTTTTCTTTTAATTTTAACAAAAAGGGCAAAAACACAAAAAGGGCAGGGGCTTGCCAACACTCACATGGCCAATCAGCCACAGAGCTAAGATAGGAGCCCTGCCTCTGACTCCCAGATCAGTGCTCCTTCTTCTGTAACCTGTTCCCAGGAGAATCTGGAAGCTTAGGTTTTCACGCGGGGAGAGATCGGGGCAAAGGTTTGCTCTCTTTCCTTCTCCATTTCTTCCGGCTGCTGTTGTCAGCAGTAACCATAAATTTCAGAGTGTGTTTTTTAGTCTCTTGAGTGTGGGGTGGCCTGGTTCTCCATTAGGGTAAAGGCTGGTACAATGTCTTTCTAAAGAAAAGGACACATGGGACAAGCCACTCCATTGTGAATGTTCCCCTGAAGGAGCGTTCTAGAGGTCAGCCCCCACTGCACAGGCAGGAAAGCAAAACGAGTGCACCTCAACTTAGAAGAGCTAACCCTCAGTCAGTCAGACCCATCTGCCTAAGCCAATCACCAGCTTTTTCTAATGCCCAAACGGACGCAAACTACATTATCCTGAACATTGTTACAGCTCAGAGAACTTGATTATGAATCGAATGTCACCGAGTTAGGCTGAGTTGGGGTTTGAGGAGCAGAAATTCAGAGCCGTCAAGTCCGGTTGAACCCTCCTGCCCC